CGAACACCCTAGGGTGGCTGATGACAGAGACAGTGTTTGTCGTCGTCGCTGTCGTGGCTTTGGTGGTGATGATGAAGATGATGATGGCGGTGGTGATGATGATCCTGATGGTGATGATGAGGCTTGATGCTGACGGTGAACTCTCTCCTTTAAGAGCGATGGCAAATTTGTGGTGGTGATGATCACGACTACGGCACTGATTACGATGACAAACATTGAAACTTAGCACACGACCATGACAGCAAATAGTGACAAGTGCCGATGCTTCTTCACGCAACTTGCAACTGTCATTGACACGTTTTGTTCTGGCGGCTCTTGTCGTCAGCCAAGCGTCTGCCTTCTGTTCCTTCGAAACGGAGATGCCGGTGGGCGTCACCCCGTGCTGGAGAGACGACACAAGCATCGGGAGCACCAGGCTGCACTTCACCATGCCTGGCAACAATGCCATAACGCTTGCCGCAATCGCCACGTCGGGTGTCGAGCGGAGTTGCAGCTCGTTGGCTACAGGGCACCCGCGCAGTAGGGATCGTGAGCCAAACAAGCGCAGCATGCATCGAAGGTGGCTTAAGTGCAGCTTCTTCGCAGTAAGCTGTGGCAGTGCTACATCAGCATCATCCGCCACATTCAGCAAAGCCACACAACACATTTACTCGTGCTGGTTAACAAGGCTAGCAGGTGATTGTTGCTACAAGCACTGCTCAAGCTCGAAAGCACAATTCAAGGTGCACCAAGCGCCTGACAACGTTCCTGGCATTCCTTGCCAGTGACATCGGACATGAGACGGAGCTTTTCGCACAGGCCTGCACTATAGAGTGAGAGATTGGTTGCTACGCATGCAGATTCTCCAGAAACCTCATGGGGCTCAGCCTCCACATCGCATCGCTACAACAGAACACAGGTCTACGCAGCTGCACGGCCCTCACTAGACGGCCAGGAAAGGAGCCTGGAGTTTGTTGATGGCACGTAAGTCCACGTCGAAGAGCAGATCCGAGTTCGGAGGCACAGGGCCTTCGCCGGAACTGCCATAGCCGAGTTCTGCCGGCACCTGCACCACAGCTCGCTGGCCCAGGCTCATGTGCCTCAGGGCCACCTCCCAGCCACGGATCACCTGGGAACTGCCCATGACAAAGCTAAAGCTGCCATGATCGAAGAGCTTGCCATCTGTCAGGTAGCCCGCATAGTAGACCGAAACAGTGTCACCCGGTGATGGGAAAGTTTTTCCGTCTCCCGCACGCACCTGCTTCAGCCTCAGGCCCCCATCCACCACCAAGCTCGCAGGACTAGCTGTGGGCACAGCCTTCTGGACATGTGTGCCGGATGCCGAATCCAGGATGGCTTGCATGGAAGCTTCGTCGGGCATCTGGCCACTGTGCACTTTCTCCAAGACTTCCGGGCTGAGAATCTTCTTCAGTGCATCTGGGCTGTTGATCACCTGGGCCATGTCGGGGCTAACAGCTGCAAGCTGCTGCACCATGGGATCCTGCTGCACAGCCTTCATCAGCAACTCGGCGTTTCCTGTGATATTCGCGATCCCCTCCTTCACGGTTTGGTTTCCCAATTCCGACCTCAATTCCGGGTCGATGTACGCGGACGTCATCTCGCCACTCATGCCGCTCGCGTCCATCATCTGCTTCAGCTGCTGCACCGGGAGCCGATCTCCGCGGCCGAGGGACTCGAAGACCTTCGTCCAGGGCTCCATGCCCTCGGGCATTGCGCTGCCATGCAAGAGGTCCTCGAAGCTGAAGCTTTGCGGTTCCAACACCTGAGCTCCGCTTCAGCCTTACGAACACCCTAGGGTGGCTGATGACA